CTGTGGAGGTGATCTGCAGGTGCTGATCCTATCGGAAATTTGGGATCTTAATCCCATCCTTTAGGGGAACAATACATTACCCCCATAAATCGCATCTAGAGGCTTCGGCTAAAGACAGGTGAGTTGGATCGGGGAAATTTGTACTTTGCATGTATTCTCGTGCATGTGATGGTTCTCTATGATTTAATAAATAAACGACACCAACCTGATTGCAGGATTAAAAAAAAAATAAAAGAAAAATAAACTTATGTAAATTTATATGAGTCTGATCTTTGAAACTATAATTGTTTTGAGAGCTTGTTTAATTTTTTTAATAATTAAAATTATAACAATTGATTTTTTTATTATTGTTATAAATAAATAATTTATAATTTTAATTCCATAATTATTTTTTAATTTTTTTTAATTTTTGAAATATATTTTTTTATTGGATTTTTTAAACATATATATTTGAAAAAAAACAAACAAATAAAAACAATTAATTAATATTAATTGAATATTCAATATATATTTAAATTAATTTGAATTTACAAATAACTTTTAATCTTTATTATTATATTGCTTACATACCGTTGATTGGTCGCTTTTGTCGAATAAAAGTAGTATTGGATTCTGTATTAACAACAATAATTTATTATGAATTAGGAATTTTTCTTTCTTTTACCTCTCGGTAAAAAAAAAAAAAATGAGTAAAGTGGAGGAAAAAAAAAGGCAATCTTCAGCGGGAGCAGAGTATTTTGCGGAATCTAATTTACCGTCTACGGTTGCATCCACTACCCCGCAAACTCGTCGTTTTTCTTCTTCTTCTACCCGTAGTTTCGATAATAATGATTACTTTTCGACTTCACCTGTAAATCAGCGTGTGTCTTCATCAATGTCCTTGTATGGTCGTGGCTACAATCGTGGGCTTTTGCGTAGAATCTCAATGAATTCCTCGATATCTAACTTTAGTACAATGTCAGAAACTTCGCTACCTTGGACCACCAAGGTATTCACCTTTCAGGATAGCTGCTGTAATTTTATCTAGTTTTGTAACTTTAAAAAAACAAATGTGAACAAGCTTCTATTGTATCTAAATCGACAATTCATTAATATCTCTATTCTCTTTCTTAATAAAATATGTATTAAAAAGGACATCGGGTTTAATGGTATTATATAATGAAATTAATTTCATGTTCTTATTAAAACTTGGATATTTTTCTTATACATTCGCAACATGCCATTTAGCAATATCAGGGGTGCTCAACAATCCAAATTCGAAATCCTCAAGCACAATCAAACCTTCAAAGAATGACATTCCTTCAGTACCTCATACTGTCATAAGAAAGATTAAACCCACTGATTTCAACAGTTATATTAAACAGATTACACCGATATTTGAAAGATATAGTCATAACAAAGAAATTGGGACTATCGGTTCACAGCCAATTAGGAGCCCCACATCTTTAAAAACAGAGTCACCCACAAATACACTGGCAACTAATCTTGAGAATTTACAATCTACACATGACGAAACTGTTGATGTACCCGTTCATAGGCTAGAGAGCACACGAAATCCATACTCTGTTATTATTCCTTCTCCAGCTTCACTGGGAGATGACCGCACACGAGAGCCAGTTATTGAGCTTCCATTACTTGAAACTGTACCTTCTGTATTTTTTGATCCGGACTTCAATTTAGAAAATCCGCGAATTTTTGATATAGTTTGTGAAAATACTGATATTATTGGAGGAAATCCCAATAACCTAGGAATTTCCACAAATGCAATTCTTCAAGAAAAACTTTCACATTACTTAGACACGGTTGAGGTACATCTTATTAAGGAAATATCTTTACGATCATCTTCATTTTTTGCAGCTTTATCAAACCTTCAAGCCCTTCATTCGGAAACATTAGAATGTGTATCACAGATTAATGGCTTACGTCAAAAATTAACTCACATAGATGATTCACAGGCAAAACAAGGGTTAGAGGTTGTAAGATTAAAACGTCGTCGTGCTAATATGACCAAACTTTATGAAGGTATAAAAATGGTTGCGGAAATTAGGTCAACACAACCGATGATACAAGTACTACTAGGACAGGGGGATTATTTCTCTGCTTTGGATTTGATTGATGAAGCAAATAATATTTTATATGGTGGAGAAGGTCAGCAATCTCAGTTAGAGATAATGAATAGCGATCAGGGCTTGAAAACACCAAATTCGTCTACGTCAACAATGAATTCCAGATCGACAGTCATTCGCCGGTTAAGTAATGTGGCGGAAAAGTCTAGCTCTCTTCATTTAAGGGGAGTTCGAGTTCTAATGAATTTTAGCGTCCAACTGGCAGACATGTATAAGATGATTGGAACGATGATGGAAAATGATTTGTTGAACATGTTATTTCTCGATTTTGAAGAATGCATTGAAAAAGCGAATACCACAGATTCTATCACAAAACTATATAAAGTACACCATGCGACGAGACAAAACGCTCAGCCATTTGACGATGCGGTAAATACTTGTGGAACGGAGAAGGGAGAAAAGCTAAAAAAAAGAGTCATGCCTCTTATTTTAGGGCTCTATAGGATGAATCGTTTCTCATCTGCCTTACAAGCATATCGTGAGAGAGTGATGGAAGAAATCAAAAAAATTACCCAAACTCAGAAGGTTTTTCTTTATATTTTTGAAACTAGAACTTTTTGGTACAGTCGATAGTTTCATCCTCACTAATGTGCGATAAATGTAAATTGTGTTCTGCGATAGTATCTTCCGTCTCCAATCACGCTCTCCGAATCTCTAGATGATCAAGCGAATGATATGCAGAACGAGCAGAGGTAATTATATAAGATATCACATAAAGTTCGCCATAACCTGCTAGTTAATTACTTATTTTAATTTGCACTTTCCTTCAATGTTCTCTTCGAATAGTTCAAACATAGTAAAATTATTGAAAGGAATGACATTCGACGCATTTCTGAATATGTTGTTGTCCATGTATTCAGTTTTACTTGAAGGAATAAGCTGCATCGCCAAGCACAGTGAACTTTTCTCCAGCATCCTAAGCGAAGCACAAAGCTCTGGTTTCGAACTTCGTTCAAATCCTGAAATACTCAATAACGATAATGAAAGAGACTTATCACGAGATGGAACTCAAACCGATGAAGATAGGTCAACGGATGCTGAGATATTACCTGCTAAACCTCTCAATGAATCTACCCCATCAGGCGGTTCAAGATTTAGCAAGGCTCTGAAAATAACGACCGGCATAAAATCTATAATCCAAAAAACATCTTCGTTGACCTTAAAAGTTCCTCCTTCTGAACCGTTACCTAAAGAACAGGACGTAACTCCCCAAACCACGCAAACAAGGGTTGTTAAATCCGACGCAAACGTATCAGATATAAACACAGGTTTTCTTCAGTTGTTGTCCGATTCCTCACAAATAGTCTTTGCTGCAGCAGATCTTGCACACGTGCGATGTGCAAACTTGATTGCGTTTCGTGCGGATCAAAATGCTCAGCTAAACCCAAAGGATTTTTATCGACTGTATAATGTGACATGGGCCTTTGTCCTGGAATGTGATGGCTTGTGTGGGCGTATGTGTTACGGTCTACGGGGAACGATATCATCTCAGGTGAGGGAGGTTGTTCAACTCTGTCCACTTGTAATGATTTATATTATTTTTTAATAATTACTTTCTATATTACCTAAAGGCTAAGGCATTCTTGAATCATTTTCACATGGAAAAGACGAAACAGGGTGTGACTTTGGTTGAGAATGAACAGTGGATTCAAGCAGAAGTACCTATTGACTTTCAACGAATTGTGGATAGAATTATCACCGCTGCAACTAAGGGATTGGTCGATTTCAAAGATGATCCAACGGATCCTTTGTCATCTCCAATATCCCCGGTGTTTCCACCTCCACGCACGTCTCTCCAGATTGAGGGTAGTACCAATACTTTTAACGACACAGGAAAGAAGGAGCTGTCAACTGGAAAATTAAATAATACTAGCAGCCGATTTATACTTGTAGAAGATCGCCGATTTTTTGTGGTCGGTTGTAGTCTAATGCTTTTGAAAATGCTCGGTGATTATCTTCGGTGCATGGCCAACATTCCCACTTTGACTACTGAGACGATGAATAAAATAATTGAAATTTTGAATGTTCGTAGGCAAATTTGTTTTGTTAATCAGCATCTGAATCCGCTCATTTTCAATTTTCGTTTACCACTAGTTGTTTAATTCGCGAACATGTCAAGTCATTTTGGGTGCCGGTGCTATGCGTTCGGCAGGTCTGAAAAACATAACGGCCAAACATTTAGGTATAATGTAATTAATTAATGTCGTATTCTCGTGAAAAAAAAGTCATGATATTTAAGACTATAAATATGATAACAGCCCTTACGTCACAATCTCTGGGTGCAATAATTTCGTTAATACCATTCATACGCGAATGTATTCGGCATAATCTTGATGCTAAAAAATTCATAATGTTAACCGAATTTGATCGCATCAAAAAAGTGAGTAAGGTGTTCGCAAAACCATGGATAATCCGGCTAGTCATTTATTTTATTATCGTTTTAGGATTATGTTAATCATCAAGATGAGGTACACATGAAATTGGTATCAATTATGAGCGAACGCGTGGTCGTTCACCTTCGATCATTCCAGGTAAGGTATGCGGACACACTTAGTTTTATAATCATTATGTTACTAATAATATGTTGCTCAATCATTAGTCCATCAATTGGGATGATACGATTGTGAAAGATGGTCCCAATTCTTATATGGAATTACTAGTTAAAGAAACCAATACACTTCATAAGGTTTTGAATAAATATCTTCCGCCTGAAATCTTGCAGGTATCAAAATATCCTACTACGATCGAGTTTCTATTATTATACACGAACTTTAATTGACCTTTCTCTTATAGAATGTAATGTCCAAAGTCTTCAAATCTTCTATTACTAAATTGTCGGAGGAAATTTCAAAATTATCGATATATACTCCTATAGGGAAAAAGCGGTATACTACAGATCTTTCAAATTTACTTTCTGAATTGTCTCCTATCTCATACTATTTATTTTTGAAGAGTTACTACGGACGTGCAATATTATATCACGAAATTATCCACCTTAGAAGGAGTCCAAAGTTCGACCAACGAATTAGAAGATACCGTTAACAGCTTACAAATTAAAGAAAATTCTTCCAAAACAGATGGAAATACCACCACTACAACATTTGATACAAAATGAAATCATTTATATTAATCAAAATTACTTCGATTAAAATTCGAAAAAATTTAATAATTTAGAAAAAAATTATTATAATAGATCTAGATTAAGTAAAAATATAATTTATATAATATCCGAAAAAAAAATTTTTTTTCTTTGAGTAGGGATATATTGGAATAATAATTTGTTATACAATGTACTGTATACAAAGTTTAATTCAGTTTTTCTATTATCAATCATTTGATAAAAAATAAATAATTTACAAATATATCAAATTTATTTGTTTGTTTTTTTTACTTCTGATAAGGCTGCAAGCTAAAATCATTTATTGATTTTATAAATATTATATTATGACTAAACAATTTACTAGTTGCAGATATCCATTGATAAGTTTAATGGATTTTTATATAACTCTTGAATTCTTTATATCAAGATTTACCATATTGTTTATTATTTAACTATAAAAGAGTTGATTCATTAAGCTATTATTGTATAATATTTTAAATTTTCTATATTTTTTAACTTTACATGAAATTAAAAGAAATGAAAACATTGTTTTTTATTAAAAAAACAATATAAAAAGTATTTTTTAATCTAAATTAAAAGTTATTATTAATCTATATTCAAAACTATTATTCTAATATAATTATTATAATTTTAAAGAATAAAAAAATTTTATTTTTTTTAAAAAAAGAAACATAATAAAAAAAAGGATCTGTAAATTTATAGCTCAGTAGTTAATGTTTCACAAATTAGATAATAAAATACCAGTTTAACTTTAGATAAAAGCAGTTGAATCAAATTAAAAATAATATCTAGTACTATAATTTGTTAAATATTGTTTCTTATAAAAAACTAATTCACATATTAATTCAACAAGTATTAAGATTGTAATTCTTAAAGAAAATACAGTAGCATAATAATTATCCAAAGAAGTCCATAGTAATTATACAAGTAATAAATGATATTTAACTAATCTTTTTAATTAAGTCTTTTTTTATTTACAATTGAATCAAAAACAAGTTCAAGTAGTTTAAACTGGCAACAAAACTTCTATCCTCTATTAGTTTGCTCCTGAATATTATAAAGAATAAAAATATCATATATTAGAATTATAGATATTTGAAAAAAGATATATAAAAGATAATTTGTATAGAAAAATATATAGTTATTAATTTGTACAAGTCTTTAAAAGATTTTTTAATAGAAATTTTTAACATATTATATGATTTAAAATCTATTAATAAACAAATATATTTTAATTATACTTTAGTCTATCTTAAAAAAATTTTTTTTTAAAATTAATAATTAAAATAATTATATTTAAAATACATCTATTAATAATTATTTAAACAAATTTTAATTTATTATTGTTAAAAATTATTACTTAAATGTTTTTTTAAAATAATTAAAATCAAAAAAAAATCAAGATAAAAGCAACATTAAATTATTTTTTAATCAAATAAATATATTTTATAAAATCTGAAGTAAGGTGACAAGGTTTTCATTTTGTTAAGATGTATTATAATGCTCCCCTCCTCTTGGACTGGTTTCTTTTCTCTTCAAGATCAAAAGAAGTCTCATTCCAATTCAGTAACAAGCTTTCTCTATTGTTGATTATCTTGAAAATGGTTGAAAAAAGAGGTTTTGAAACTATCCATTGATTAAATGAAGCTATAAATCCTTGGAGATTTGGCTGAAAGAGAAATTGCCAATTAAAACATCAACCCTCCTCAAGATTAGAAGTCTTCAAGTGTAAAGTTTCAAGAAATACTTTCCTGAAAGTACTTTTAAACGTTCTTGGTCAACAATGGAATAGCAGAAATTAAATGATTTACCTAGCTGCAGGTGGTGGTAAAGGATTTATCCTGATGGACTGAAGTTGACATTGGAAGGTTTTTATTTACCAGAACAAACTCTTCAACTATCCTTTTTTATTTCCTCTTTTTTCTTAAAAAATAAAAATTTTTTTATCTCTTAGGATCACAAAATCATTTGGGATGACAGTCTGAATGTAGACTGGCTGAGATCTTTCAAGGCATAGTCTTTGATATCTAGTCTTGAAAGGAAGCAACTTCTTTATTCCCGATGATCACATATAAAGAGTTTAGATTTAAAAAGTCTAAGATAGTTAATACCATGCAGTAATAGCTTAATGAACCTACTTTCTTGTAGTGAAATAGTTAGTAAATATCTAAATT